GAGTCCATACACAAACTCAAATAAATAATTCCTCATCGTTGTCCAATCTGGATTCGCTAGACAACATGTGGGAATGGCAGTTACTGTAGGGAAACTTGTATATGCCACTCTCATAAAATCTTATCATATACATAGAAGAACAAATATCTTTAGTTCTTTTCATTATGTGATTTTCCCATCTATATTCATGTACTTTTCTCACTAACGTCATATCCTTATTGTTTTATAGCCTCACAAACAATTCTGTATGAAAGATTAAAACTTTTGCTTTTGAATGTGAGATTTATCTTGTATGGGTTCTAAAACTATGTTTTTTAAGCAGATTTTGAAAAAAGTGTGAAGGTTTCAAACATAAGAGCATCACTGAATAGCTTCCCAAGCTCATATTTGCATACAGCCTTACAGTATTTTTTTTGTATTTAATAATAATAATAACTTTTATTCATAAAGCATCTTTCCAAATCCCTGGACACTGTAAAAAATGATTAAATGAAAAAAAAAAACAGAAGTTAAAAAAAAAACCTAAAGGATAGAATGTAGGGCAAAGACACTAGTAAAATGGTGAGTTTTGAGTTTAGATAAAAGAGACTATAAACCTAGCTGACTATAAATGAGTCAAATAATTCTTGATTAGACAAAGAATTTGACTCTCTAACAATCGGAGAAAAGGCATTCCATAACAAATGAGCAGCAATAGAAAAAGCATGATCACAAAAAGTCTGAGATTTAGCCCAAGGTACAGCGAGCAAAGGTTGAGTTTTAACTGGACAGAGCCTATGGGAGAGAATGTAAACATGGAGGATTTCCGAGAAGTATGGAGCCAGATTACTTGAAGCCTCAAAAGTCAGTAACAAGAGTTTCTGTTGAATACATGACTTTATAGGCAACCAATATAGAGACCTAAGTGTAGGAGTGATATGCTGCCAATGTCTGGTGCAATTTAGAAGTAAAGCTTTAGACTTTTGGACATACCGCAAGTTACTACAGAGAGTGTTATGGAGCCAATTAAGTTAAGAGTTGTAGAAATCAAGCCTTGATGTTAAAAATGCATGCATCAGGCACTTGGCATTGATTCCATTGATGAAATTGCTTAATGGGGACAGAATTTCTAAGATGAAAAAAGGATGTCTTAAGCAAATTTTATAGGTAGGACTCAAAAGACAGGAGACGATCGAGTGCAACTCCAAGAAATCCATGAATAGGAAAGCCATCCACCATTACTGTGAAGCTCTATAACTTGTCCAGATGACACCTGCTGCTCACCAGCAAAATGTCTGTTTTGTCACTATTTAGTTTCTGGGAAAGTAATGTCAATCAGTGTGCATAACAATGAAACTGAAGACCATGTTTGAATATAATCTGGCCAAGAAGAAGCATGTCAATAATAAAAAGTAATGGACCCAACATTGAACCCTGCAGTACACTGTGATTGACTGGTGCCATGGGGGATTTACGAGGACCAAGGGAAACAAAATGTTGCCTGCCAGTCAAATAAGAGGAAAACCAGTTAAAGACACTACCACTTACATAATGAATGTTTGCAAGCGAATGAGCAAAACTGAATGATTTAGTGTAACAAAAGCAGCACTTAGATCAAGAAGCATAAGGATACTGTAGCGGCAATGCTTGTTAATAAGACAGAATTAA